GAGCAGCTCTGCTCCATGACGCCCGTCTGCCCAGATGTTCCTGCCTTATCTCAGGCCAAGGGCCGTGGAGCGAGCTGACCAGAGATCAACATTTTTGAAACACTGAGGCTAAACAAACCTTTCCTCCTCTAAGCTGTTTACGTCAGGGGTTTTTGTTGCAACGACTAATGCACATACTTCGCCTAAGAACGTCTATCCAGTAAGTGAACTTGTAGGGAATTAAATCTAGGATTTGGAGTTCTGCATATGAGCCTGTACGTCTTGTTTCTAAATTTCAAGAACTTAATTCCTTCTGTCAACAAAGGGAAGGTTTTCCAACTGACACCCTCTTATCAAGTACTGCAGTACCCCATGGGGCAGTGTCGAAGACTTGGGGTGTTACAGTGAGCATCCCTTCACTTGTTTTAAACAGAATTCTATTACTGTGGAGGCAAGTGGAGTTTCTACTAATGTGACATTATCTTTGCTTCCACATGGCAGTTGATTTCAGCGACGGGCAACGTAGTTTTCAAACATTTCTGATTATGGACTATAGCTTCAGTGTCAAAGCTTCTCCCGGCTCTCTAGCATGGTGCTTCAGAATACAGCAGGGGTCATTTTCTCCTGAGTAACTGGGACCAGGGGAAGGAGGTCCAGAATGTCCATAGTGCAGGGGCATGGCCATCTCCACGAGAGGTCGTACAGGAAGGCGTGGTCTGAGAGCACCCAAGAGTCAGGGACGGTTCCCCGTGGAGAGATGAGGCTGGCTCTCAGGAGGAATTCCTGCAGATCTCAGGGGCTGAGGGGCAGTGATCAGAGAGACGCATGCCATGGAATCCCAGCTGCACCCTGACTCATGAATCTCGAGAAGCTAAGAAGGAAAGCGGAAGTGACTTTCAAAATACCTCAAAACCACTTGGTAGCCAGGACACCAGAAGACACAGCTTTTACTGATTTGGGGAGACCGGGTCATGCTGCTGTGGAAAGAGGTGACACGAGTGGGGGTTCTTATTTCCAGGAGATCATTTCCCCAGTAAGACTTTTCATGGAAGTTAGTCATCCTTGACCACTCTGGCGTGCTAACAGCCTTGCAAAGCATGCTACGTTGAGCCAGCAGGTCAGACCTACACAGCGGTGGATGTGACCCATATGAAACCACCTTTAGTTAACTGAGGTATGACATGCATTAGACTGCATTGATTTGGCTTATAGGAACCAGCTGGGTCAAACTGAAATTCTACATTCAGTTTTTGGAGGAATCTCTACACTGATTTCCACAGTGGTTGTACTAGTTTACACACCCACCAACAGTGTAGTGGAGTCCCTCTTCCTCTACATCCTCACCAGCATTTGTTGTTAGATTTTTTGATGACAGTGATTCTTTCCTGAGTCAGAGGGTATCTTCGTGTGGTTTTCTAGTTTATCTTAGTTTGCTGAAAGCTTTGTGTTACTATGTTTTGTTTCTTTTTTGGTAGGAATCTTTTTGGTTTATGTCTTGTACTCTGAATAACTAGTTTGAGGACAACAATACATAGTGTAACAATTACTGTTATTCTTACTTATAAAATTTTATTTTTTCATAAAAAGAATCAGGACCTTCCTTCCCAACTGTACAGTTATTTTTATTGTACAGACATATTTAAGGACATACTCTGCTTGTTATACCACACAACTCTTTTATAAGGATCCACAAAGTCAGCCAATAAATTTATCTTGAACACATATACACCAGGCACTGCTATTCCCTTTGCTGGGAATAAAGCAGTGAACAAAGAAACTTTGGCCTTTATTGTCGAAGCTCATATTGTTGAAGAAAATTTTTTCGTAGGTCTCTATGTCAGGCAAAGCTGTCAACTTCCTAAGCAATCTTCTTGCTTTAGTTACTAGGGAGCTCAGAGCGATGTTCTTTGACCTCTAGCACTTGGACAGCATCTCACAGAATGAAATGTTATGTGGATCTCATCTCTGGTTCATAGTATTTTCCTTTTGATAAATTTTCTTGTTTTTATCCTTGGGGGCCACATTATGTCCTAATTTTTTCTTTTTCAATAATGCTATAATAAATAAGCCCAGCAGGTCCTTGGGACAGATAGGGGACACTGGTGATAAGATGCGGGAAGGGCTGCTACTTGGTATGAGGCAGTCCTGGCAAGCGGGGGCCACAGGGTGCAATGTAACCATTGCTGGTAGGAAACAAGGCGAGGAAAGGTGGAGTGGAGGGGCTGTAGCTGCTCATGGGAGGCTGGGACCGGGTTTCTTGGGATGGTTGGCTGGAGTGTGGGATGTAAAGGTGGCAACTCATAGAAAACACTGATGTAAGAGCAGACGGAAATCAGGCACATAAACAAAAGCATGAGTGAAACTGAGTCTGCAATTGGGCAGAAGCCGCCCTGTTAAGTAGGGAGGAACTTGATGGGGAGAAGAGAGGGATTTATGGTAGATCTGGGTAGCTTACAGAATCTACACAACAATAATAGGTTTAAAAGAGAGAGGGTCCCTTCTGAGACTGAAGATTCAGGTTGCTTGGCACGTGACAGAAGTGCAGTACATACGGGATGAATGAATGAGTGAATGACTGAATGAAACATCCATGGGGAGGATGTCTGATTGGCTGAGCTTGGGTCATGTGCCTTGGTCGAAGGTCCTCCCAAAGGTCAAACACTTCAGATTCTTACCAAAGGAAAGGACAGTGGACGTGGGGCAGGCAGAACCAAGCAAGACACCCATCTCAGGCCACAGAGCGATGGCTGACAGACTAGCGCAGGTGGCAGCTCTAGCTGTGCAGAACATGTGCTGCCCCAATTAGCTGGCCCTTGTCCTCTAGCACCCAGAAGGAAAGGAAAGCTGCAGAAAGCAACTCCATGGCTTTATTGCTAACTCTTCAGGCTGCGGGGAAGAGGCAGGCGTAGACAGCTGGGCGAGGTCAGAGGTGAAGATGCAGAAAGGCTAGGTAACTTCTGGCAAGGTCTGGTGAGGAGAGAGTGGTTCTCAAAGACAGCCCCCAGAGTGACACATTTGGAAATTAGCTCTGTGTCTCCTTGGAGAAGTGAACCTGTGCATATTTCTCCCATAACATCCCTTTTTTGTGTTTTGTAATAAATTGCATTTTAGTCTAATGTGAAGGAGGTTCCTTGATGTACTGCAACCGAGCACAACTCAACCAGAGGGATACCATGATCTCACTTGCTGGGCGCCAGCCCTGTGGACTTTTTGCTGTTCTTTAAACACATCAGTCTCATTCCTGCTAAGAGCTTCTGAGACCTGCTCTGTCATCTACATGAAATTCTCATCTGTGGGTTTTCACCTGGCTCCCTGCTCACCCTCTGCAAGGGTCGCTTCCCCTTTGCACCGATCACTTTCCCAATGAAAGGTACTGCAGCTACTGTCAGTCACTTTACCACATCAATCTACTATGTTTCCTTCAGAGCACCCGGCAATGTCTACAGTAAGCCTATTTCTAAAAAAACGCATGCGTGTGGAATGTCTTTCCTCAGAGTGCAAATTCCATGAGGATGGGAAACCAGCCTTGCTTCTTCACGCCTGTATCGCAGAGAGAGAGACTGGCACCTGGCATCACGTGCGTGCTTACTAAATACTTACGTCATCATTATATCGCTGGGATAAACTCAACTTGGCTGTAGGACACTGTCTGCCTCTCCGACTTGCTTAGTTTTGCTGCTATTTTAAGAGTTTATGTATATGTTAATCAGTGAATAGATCTATTTTCTTCTCTGAAATTCCCTTTGAGTTCATATCCCCCTAGCATGAGTTGGGAAAATACTCTTCTTTTCTACTCTGTGGAAGAGTTTGTATAAAATAGAAGACAGAAGCTATCTAAAGTTTGAAAGTTAGGTTGAATCCTTTAAATCTATCTGCCAGAGCCTGCTGTTTTTCTTATGGGAATTTTTTTTTTAATTTTTTTATTTTTTTGGTTTCTTTTTTCCAGTACCGGGAATTGAACTCACAACGTCATGCTTGCCAGGCAGGCGCTGTGCTGCTGAGCTAAATCCCCAGCCCCTTACGGGAATATTTTAAGTGGCTGCCTCAGTTCCTTAGTAATTCCAAAACTGTTCAGGCTATTTCTTTTTGAGATTGTTAAGGCAAGTTAAAAAAAAGAATTCCCCTTGGAACATGACTGTTTCATCTAAATTTCTAAACTAAAGTAGTGTGCTTACTTATGGAGGTTCTGTGTGAACGACTGTCGCAGAAATGCCTTGAAGATCTCTCTACAATTTCCCCAGGCTGAGTGGGTAGTGGGTCCACTGCACTTCAAAGCTTCAGGTTCAATATTACAGTCTAACTATTTCCGCATGGTTCAAGATTACAGATTACAGTGGGTTGGTGGTGCACATCTGTATTCCCAGAATTCTGGGAGGCTGAGGCAGAAAGATCACAAGTTTGAGCCGAACCAGGGCAATTTAGTGAGACTCTGTCTCAAAATAAAAAATAAAAAGGGCTGGGGATGTAGCTTAGTGTGAAGGCCTTGGGGTCAATCCTCAGCGTTGTGAAAAAAAACATACAAAAAAGGAAAAGCCATTCCAGCAGCAGTTTCCTCTTCACAAAACAGGCAGCAGAGAGACTGAAACTACCTCTTAGAGAATCCCACTTGCAGTGAACTACAATGTGGGCGGAAATTAAGGACAGTCTTGCGGCATGACTGGCTTTTGTGCAAATGAAATTATTATGTGACTGATTATCTGTCTGGGTCATTACTATGCTAACAGGCTAAGTCGATCAAAACGAAAGGAATTTCAGAATTCAGGCAGGAAGGCATGATCAAGTTGCTCTGTCATTAGCTGTCACAAAGTTCACAATTAATCACGACACCCTGCAAAATGGGTAAAATATTTGCAAGCAAGGAGAGGGTGGAGACGCCAGAACCTGTAAATTTATGCCAGCTGAGCACTCACTGTGGGGGCGTCTGGCAAATGGATTTATTATTTTGCCAACTCCAGCAAAATGTTATGCAATTGCCACAAAATTGTTTCTATGCAAACAATTGTTTAAGAGAGGGTCCTTACCTTAAATAGCTGCAGTTCAGCGCTTTCTGGGTAACCGTCAAGGCCGACATTAAACTAAAACTATTAGAAATCACTTTCCCTGGAATCATGCGGAAATATTAAGATCTACTTTTTTCTTCTCAACTCTCTCTTTTTCCTGTCTTTTCATGGGACAACAGAACTTCAGTTTTGAGTTGCTGGGTTTTGTTTTTGAAATAGCAGAATGAAGAAGGGACCAGGATATTCGAGGCAGAGCTGGAAATGAAGTAGCGGCCAGAGGGGGAGACGCGGGAAGCCGCTCACTGAAAGCCTACCAGCTTCATCTGTAAACAGGGGTAAACTTCTATCTGTCCCCAACTTCCAGGGGCGAGGCGGGCTCCTTGCAAAAGCTACATATAAAATTGTAGCTTTACCCTCCGCCCCGCTGCCCGGATGGCGCCTCCTCCTTACACAAGGTGGGATGGGGTAGGGGATTTAACTGAAGTTGATTCTATTAGTTCAAGATTGTTTTTCCCTGGAAAATAGGATCAAATCAAGTTATTCGAACTTTTTTTTTTTAACCTATAACTAAACCCATATAAAAACGACGTGAAAACTCACGGAAAACGACTTAGCTCGCTTCCCAAGAAGTCTTGTATTTGGAAGATTCTGTAACTCCCTGAAGAATAACGGCTCTAACAGCAGGATCTTAAATTTAGGAGGGTCCTCTGGCGGAGAGGTGCTACTCTGAGTAGTACAACAATGCTTTTGCAGTAACGTTGTCAAATTTGTTAGTAACGGCTCCATTGGGACAGCAGGCAATTTAAACGCCTCTGCGAGGTCCTCACTGTACCCGCTGCGCTGAGCTTCTGCTCCCGCAGCAATTTGTCTTCTCACCTCCAGGCCGCAGGTGGGGCTCTAACCTTTCCAGTGCTCTAGCATCCAGTCGCTCCTTGGTCTCTCTTCAGGAGGCAGTAGTTGTCCCCATTTTACAGATAAAATTGAGGCCGTTGTTTATAGAACTTTCTTTGACAAAAAGTACTTAAACTAGCTAAAAAATGACTTTCAACTTCCAACAGTGTTTCCTTTGAGGTCAAGGTCTTTGATCCCATCTCCAAAACCCAAAAAACGGGACAAGAGTTTTACCGTAGGTTAGAACAGAGTCGCCCCCTCCAACACCCCAGTTCCGGAGGACGTCAATCACGGTGCACGCAGCACCCCGAAGCGGGAGATCATCCACCTGCTGGCGGCGTAATGAAAACGAAGGAGCCGGGTACACAGGTCCAGTAAGCGCGCAGAAACCTTGCCGCGCAGCACCCCAGGAAAGTTGAAGCGTCTTCTTTGACTCTGGGGCCAGAAAGATTTATTACTTCCTCTTCGAGGCAGAAACCACAGAGCAGCTGAAAAGGGCGAGCAGGACGTCAGGAGCTTGGGAACCGCGCTCCTCCGAGGCTCCCGGGAGCGCTGCGTCTTCGGTTCCCGGAGAGGCTGCTGTGGACTCCGGGGAGAGCGGAGCGTACCAGCCGCCGGGGGATTTCGGCCCAAACTTTATCTCCAACTCTTTTGCAGAGCAGAACGTGGGGTCAACTCCGGCAGCCACGCAGAAGACCAGTCTTTTGCAGCCAGGGGAGCCGGAGCGCGGCGAATCCTGCGTCCGCACCCCGGCGCCGTGCGCACGGAGCCCGAAGCCCTGCGGCCCGCGGGAGGCGGCCCTGGCGGCGCAGAGGTGAAGCGGGTCGCGTCTCCAGCCCCCAAGGAGGCGGCGGCAGGGT